TCGGGCTGGATTCGATACTACAAAGCGGTAATAATGAAGGGCCAAACGAAATTCACTACTCAACACGACTCCACCAGTTATTAGCAATAAGCATTGTATAGTACTGTACACCGCTGGGCACTCATTTACATGCGTGCGTGGTCAATGTCACGGGTGATTTACGGTGAAACCTAACGACCCCACTGCTTCGCTCATGCGTCATTGTTAATTTCGTGTGCTCATTCGAATGGAATAGACAGCGACTACAGATTCCTTAACACTGCATGCAACTACAACTAAGCAGCGCATACTACGGCCTCTTCGCCCGGACGCTGGTGGAATGCCTTGCCGCCGTCTTCCCGCTCGTATCGGTCCTTACCCTTTCTTTCACCTGACCCTCTCCCGGTCTTCGCGGCTATTTTTCTAGCGGGAACTCATCGCGACCCCATACAGCGCGAAACAAAAGAGGTTTTGTTTTCCCCCGAGCGAAGACTTTTTGTTCTTGCCTCTTTCTCACGCTCATCCTCCGGCGTGTCTAACATTCGCCTTTTTCTACGGGACATCCATCGCGACGAAGCAGTGCACGGGGAAGAAACGAGGGAGGCGTGCCTGAGTTACGACACATGAATTTGCAGGCGAGAGTTGTTTTGCTGACGGAACAATACAAGTACAAAACGTCAGCGCGCTAATCAGGACAGCGGGTTAGCCCGCGCCTCGTAATCAGGGCGCATGCACAGCAACACTTGTGGCATTATCTGTGTTAGCGTAACACAGATTATGTCACAGATAATGTCCCACAGATTATGATATTTACTTGGAAACGAAAACTCTCCGACAAACGAAAACGACGGTCACATGATGCATTGATTCGCTCCTGATGAAGGGCGCCACTTAAGTTTCTGTGCTTTTTTTCTAGCACTCTTTTTCTTTCCTTTCAGTAACCTTGTTTCCTAGGAAACAGGGGCACCAGTCGTTGTGACCAGGGATGTATGCAGAATTATTTTTTTTTTTTCGGGAGGAGGGGAAGGCGGCGTGCGTCCTTGATCTGAAGTGGGGGCCAGGCAAACAACTGATCATGTTGCTCTGTGTATGTCATGGTGAAAAAAAATGAGAAAAAAAAAACACTCGGTGGGAGTGAGAGGGGGGGGGGGGGGGGGGACACGGGCTCGGTTCGCCACCCTCTCTGGCTACGCCACTGGTTGTGGCTTCGTGGCTAAGGTTTCACGCTTCTAAGCTCAAGGACGCGGGTTTAATCCCCGCCCACGGCGCACGCAATATCGTGTAGGTTAAATAAATAATAAAAACGTTGAGGTCAAATTTAGGCAGGTTACATGTTAGAAAAATTTAATCGTTTAAAATTTGCCTTGAATTTTTCTACTATGGCGTGCCTCATAACACTATTGTGGTACTGATCATCATCATCATCAGCATCATCATGATAATCAGCTTGACTACGTCCACTGCAGGACAAAGGCCTCTCCCATGTTTCACCAGTCTACTCAGTTCTGTGCTTGTTGCCGACACTTTGTATCCGCAAGCTTCCTAATCTCATCTGCCCAGCTAACCTTCTGTCTCCCCCTCGTGCGTATGTCTTCTCTTTGAACCCAGTCAGTGATCCTTAATCACCGGCGATTATCTTGTCTTCGCGCTACGTGCCCTGCCAATGTCCGTTTCTTCTTCTTGATTTCGACTATAATGTTCCTAGCATCCGTTTGTCCCCTGACCCACTCTCGTCGTTTCTTGTCTCTTAAGGTTACACCTATCATTTTCCTTTCCATTGCTCGCTGCAGCTTGCGTCATCCTCAAGCAGAACACCCTTTGCAATCCTCCAGGTTTCTGCTCCGTGGGTAAGTACCGGTAAGATGCAGCTGTTATACACCTTTTCTTTTTCTTTTTTGAAAGAAGATGGGCACTTGCACTCCTTGCATTGCAATGCGAGATGTTCGGCGCACCAATTTGTCATGTTGTAAGGTTGACGTCACATACGAACGGCAGCAACAGTAACTTGTCTTTCCTCCTTTCTAAGTTGTCCTGCCTTTGACCAGAGCAAAATAGCCCATCTGGTCAAGCCCTGGTTGACCTCCCCGCCTTTCTCTTATCCTCCTCCTTCGCTTTGTATGCACGCCGCCAGGTTCGGTTGTTGAAGCAATGGCCTGTCTGGCCAATGTCCATTTCTTGCAGGTTACTTATATGTTTATTCATTATACCCTCAGGGTTACTAAACGTTACAGAAGAGAGTGGTGAAGAATAAAAAACAACAATATTGCATGTACAAAGAGGCCATATAGTGTATCTGATTATGCAATAATAGTCATAATAGCCACCACCATAGCATGAATTTACAGTAGAAATATACAGATTAGAAAAAATAACACTGTAATAAGTTCTACATAAGCAATAATAGCTATTACAAAGCAATATACAACAGGTAACAGATGTGGGGGTGCCAACGACCCCCTGTTAAGTAGTTCGCGCCTCGTGGCGCACGTGTTTCGCACACAGGCTGCATTCAGGGGTCACAGCTATCGAGGTGGCGTTGTGCTCGTAGGTGGCGTTGTGCTCGCGAGCGTTTATCACCACCATCATCATCATAGTTTGTGCGGTGGCGCCGGCGGAGGCGCCTGGCGGCAAGCCTGGGTGGCGGCCCACTAGAGATGAGCGAGCGGTTCTCGTAGGTGTTCTGTGGGGGCCTTTGGTACGCGTAGCGGTTGGCGCGAACGGCTGTCTTTTGGAGTGGCCCCGCGGAGTACAACACCGCGGGTCGTCTGCCGGGGGCCCTCATAGAGAGTCAAGCGTTGGCGAAGCCGCCTCGTGTCGGTTCTTGTGGTTGTAATGTTCTTGAGTGTCGCGTAATATTGTGTAAGGTTGTTTAGCGTGTTCATCACACTTGATGTATACAGTTCGGCTGACGATATCGTCGTTCTAAACGCAGTTAAATGAATGTGTGTTGTTTTGGTTCGTTTCGACCGTGTCAGCTGTGTCCGTTCACCCAAGAGCGTGGAGCTCTCCACAAGTGACACCAGAGACAGCGCAATGGCGCTCGTTATACCAGTATGTCTACTAAGATGTTGATGACCCTGTGTCCTGTAATGAATGTTTTCATATTTTGTACATTTTTTTTGTACTGCGACTGCGTGATGCTGGATTGTATCAAGCTGCGAAGCATAGTCTCCTAAGCTTTTTCTTCCCATGTCCTCTGCTCTTTGAAGTGGTAAATAAAATAAAATGAAAGATGCGAAATACAACAAGCTATTACAAAAAAATGGTTTTTCACAGAATCCTAGCTCAGAACAATAGCTAAAATCTATATTGTTTTTATGCGAAGTTGATGCTCCGCTGTCTTCACAGTTATGCCAAGATTAACTCCTGAGCCTTCCTAATCCAACGGCACCCTGAGGATCAATAGCCGTGTGGAGGGCGCGGCGTTGTTGTGCTATAAATGCTTCCTGTACGGCGCCTTCGTTGGCGCTTCTCGGGTCACTGATTGCATTCGGCCAAATGTCATAGGGTGCAGCAGTGACGTAATCAACTGGATTTGTTGCCATTAGAAGCAGCGGGGACATCTTGAATATCTTGGAGACAACGGAATTGTGCCCCTCTATAAATACAATAACGCGCTTGGTTGTGGATGCCTGCAAGTCACAGAATCGAATTTCGGCCACGGTGGCTGCGTTTTCGATGGAAACGAAAATACCCGAGGTCCGTGCGCTTAGATATAGGTGCACGTGAAAGAACCCCTGTTGGTCCAAAACTTCCAGGGCCCTCCACTACAACATCCCTCATAAATATTTTTATTTATTTATTTATTTTATTTGCAAATGCTGCAGGCCCTCCTCGGACCCATGCGGGAGTGAAACAAGATTACAATCAGACCACGCACAGTTATCCACTGAATAACTTGGCATAATTAAAATATTATACAAATAATAGGTACGCAACTGGAAAATAATATAAATAATTAGTTGATATGAATTCTTTATGTGGTGGTTTTGGGACATTAGACCACAACAAAGACTATCATTACGTAGTTTTTATCTCTTTTCTTTTCTTCACTTATATGCAAGTTGTCTATAAACAGCATTTCATTCGGCTTCTAGCGGTGTCTGCCAGAGTGCCACTCAAATTTAGAGCATAACGAGCACCCGCGAAGAGCGTTGAAAGAACTTATGAATGCTGAAGCGGCGCATTCCTGAAGTCATCAGGCTATCCTATTATCCAAAGGACAAGCACTCGGCGACAGCATTTTTTTTTTCATAGTTTTCCTAATCATGCAGTTATTTGTGCAAAGCATTAGTCTTCTTTCCACGAGAAAGAAAAACAAACAAACAAAAGGAATGACATCGAATTGGAGCATTTGAGCGAGGCGTATACATTTTTTGGCGAAGCTCAGAATACGCACGAAAACACTTACTTTCGTGAAATCCCCAAGGCACCAAAGAAAGCAGATTTTCGACAAGAAGCCAGGTTTTCTCCCTTTTCTTTTTCATGTAGGTTTGTGAAAAGGCATAACAGTATAAAGAAATGGTGTTTCAAAGCATGACTTTTGCTTTCGGCTGGCACCTTTTAACAACTCTAATTCCCAACAACAACAAAAAAAAAAATGGAAAGAAAAGTCGAGAATATAAAATTGGGTAACAAGATCAAATGCATCGACAACAACAACCACTGCACCGACCACGCGGAAGCTATTCATTTCTTGCCGGACAGTCATTTCTTTCCTCACCTCAGCCAGAGCAGTTCTCTCTTTCCAGTGTCCTCCCTAAATGACGTCATAGCAAAGTCGTCTCTTCTGGGTCAACCATCGAACCGTGCGCACGCATGCGTTGGATGCGCTGCAGAGAGGGAGAGCTGGAAATACAAAAAAAAAAAAAAATCCTACGTTGGGCGCCAGAAAAAAAAAAAAAAAATTCGGCGACGCTGCTACTTCATCACACCCCTTCCTCTTCGCTTCCTCGAATAGGTCTCTACGCGCTCCTTCCCAAGCTTCCAACGCGATCCTCCAGATGGCGAAGCGATAGCGCATGCGCAATCCTGCGTGCGCGGCAACGGTAGCGCCGCCGAGCGGTCGACGAGGTCGAGCCGGCTGGCGACGTCGTCGGCTGCAGCAGCAGCGGCTGGCTCGCTCCCAGGTGCGCGGTTGCGGAGTTTTTCCTCTCTGCCGAGTTGGTGCGCGTGTGGTGTGGCCGGGCGTTAAGCGGCGTGCGCGTGGTGTCGTTCGCAGGCGTCGCCAGCGCACAGATCTGGGGCGCCCCGTGGCTTCAGCGTCCAGTGGCCAGCGGGCTGCCGTGCGGCGCGGTGATGCTGCGGACAGCAGCGACGGCGGCAGTCCGGCCATGACTCCGGAGCCCGCCTCCATGGCGCAGGATCAGCAGGAACCGGCGGCGCCGCCGCGCGCAGCGAGCCGGACCAGCGGCAACCTCAAACGGTGCGTCGCAGTCCCGGCACTTACTCTCCAGCTATAGTGGCGAATGCACATGCATTAACTGTGCGCAACAACAATCGACAAAGTATTTCACACTGGGAAGCGCGTCCGCTGATCTGTTACCTAGGTAATTGTCAGTGTAGTCTTGTCCAAAGAAATTTGCGTAGAGACCCGACAGACGCTTCTTCTCACTAAAGTACCGGATGGGTTTACGCACACTAACCGCAACAACAATCAACGAAGACTTTCACAATGAGTGGCCCGTCTACTGGCCTACCATGGTTGGATAATAATTACTTGCAGGTCTCGTCTACCCCAAGAGATCTTGTGTGGACTTGCTCGTTTGCACTCCGAAGAAACTAAACCCAATTCTCGTAAACGTACTCAAGTGCTCTAAACCAGAGCGGACAAAGTGAACGAAACATCTCTTTCACCATCGATTGAAAAGGATAAATGTTCATTCCATAAACTTTACTTTGTAAACAGTCAGGTGCTAATGGAGGACGTACTGTCGGTACACCTCGAGAACCCGGCGCAAACCTCTGTGTAAGAGAGAAAAAAAGTGAGTGCGTCGCCTTATTTATTACATGCGACGAGCACAACACGCGCATGTCGGTAGGGCAGAGAAGGCCAGCTGGCCCATCATTCAGGAACAGGGGCTGTCTCTCTCTCTCTCCAGAGAGAGAGAGAGAGAGAGAGCAACTGTCGACGGCAGCTTTCACGCAGGCAAAAGTACTCGCGTACGTTGTTGAATACGGGCGGGAAAGCGCGTCAGTTTGCTTGTTATCTGGATACCTCCGAACATTCGCGTCAGTGCGACTTGCGCGTCGCATTGTGTAGCACAATTTATGCGTCAGTCATCCCTGCGTTCAGAAGCAGTAAAATTTGTGGATGCGCAGTAAAGCTCAAGAGACCTTGAACTCGAGTGCTTCGCTGGTTTTCGAGCTACGGGCAATGCTCTCTAATGCATCGTGCTCGTTGCATTGATAATAGTTTATCGTAAGAGGCTTTTACAGAGTGAACGGTGAACGAATGGCTCAGAAGTCCATTCTTTCGAGCCATCTCACCGACTGCTTTTGGCTACCGCGTCCTACAAACAAGCCGAATATAATATTTTTTCATTTGGTTGTCGACAGTAGAAGCGTTTGTCCATGCTTTCGTGATCACCTCTTTGTTTCTCTTTGTTTATACTGTAGAGCCATAACACTCCCTAAAGCGCAGGGTGTTATGTGCTATTGTATATAATGAGCTGTGATGAGCACCACATTTATACCCCAAAAACGAACTTGAATTGAGCATCTTGTTTCTGTGGTCTGTCGTTGGCATTTTGCGGCGTATCTGCAGGGCTTTAACTCCGCCAAGGTCGTTCACTAAGCACACGCTTCCGTCAGTTTCGTACTTCCTACGGAACACGAGTAACCACGGTCGCCCAGGCAACTGCGTGCCTGAGGAAAAGAAGGTTTACAAAACAGGATAGCCGTGTTGGCTAGTTGGTCTACCATTCTGACACAAAAACTTTGAGCGCGTTTAAACGACGTGGGGTGATGCGTGTTTCCCTTCTTCGCCCTGCGTCGTCTATTTGTGCTCGAAGTTAAATGTGCGAAGGTTTGCGTGTTTGTAACGCGCCTTCCAACCACCGGTTCGGCTTCGCTGCAAAGCCGGAGAGGTCCTGCGTCATCAGCAGCCACAGGCGCCTTATCGGCGTACAGGGGTCACAACATCTGCCCCGTTCCAACCTCTCCGACACGTAGTGAGGCACCAAAGCACACACGCACAAAAAAAGGGGGGAGCCGGTGCGTTCTCCTCTCCTGATCCGCGGTTGCAGCCGCACTCTCGTGCTCCGCATCCTCCCGCGATGGAGGAAATGACGCCGCTGCTCGCAGGAGGGCTTCCCCGCACGACCCGCGAGACAACATGGCGACGCCGGTCGATCGATACCGCGCCAGAGCTTGCTCCCTGCGCAGATGCCGATGTGCTCGGGCACGTTATCTTCGAGAAGGTGTCATGACGGCTTCATTGATTAAGGTGTCTGTTTCCTTTTTTTTATTACCGTGAAACATAAGCCTGCTATCGCCCCACACGTTCTTATCTTAATCACTGAATCAAGTGTATACCGAGTGTGGCATGAAAGCTTCATCAACACACATGTCTGTGCTTTGGGAAACTTTATTTGTTTTATTGATAGACGCGTTCGGAAGAGCGAGAAAAACTTTATTTGCGCATACCGCGGAGCACTGCAAATGGTTGGGCTCCTATTCCAGTTCTCCGCTGGCCCTTGCCATCATCTCTGTCCGTCGAACCATTCGCAAACATTTTTTTTTTTTGAACTGTCCTACAGTGTCGTCCTTTACATATGCCGAAACTAAGCATAGGCCGAAATTAAACGTTCTGTGTCGCCAATTTTTTCACACTATTTATTCGGTTTTGAATGTGCACACTGGTGTGTTCGCCGATGCTATTGATCTTATAAAAATTGGGAATGCCTTCGAATGCCGCTTCCCTACGCTTAAGCCACTTCTTTACGAACGGTGTGTCCAGTTTCAGTTCCCTACAAAATGTAGGAAATGGTGTTTCAGCTCCGCTAATGCCGTAGCTTATTTGTCGGACTAACTGTTGCCATGCACCTTCATTTCTAGGGGCAAGCGATTTACCCGTTGTGACACTTGCCCATTTTCTCTCGCCTACTCAGCATAGAAGTGCTTAGGCATTCACAGATACGAGACGCAGGAGGAGACAGTGGCGCTTATCTGCTGCATACCGGTGTCGTCAGCGCCCGTTTCCCATGATTACGTCTCAAGTGAAATACTGAACGACTAAAATTTCCGCTGTGCGCAGCAGTGTCGATTGTGAGAGTTCGGACAAAGGCAGATAAGGACGGCGGAAGGAATGAGCTGTATCTCTAGGCATGCTCGACTTCTTCATTTGCACACATTTTTGTGGAATCAGTTTTTCGAGTGTTTTTTTATCCAGATCTCGACGCAGTAAGGGTAATATATGATTCTTAGGATAGGAACTCTGGATGAGGGCTTCGGATATTTCGACCACCTCGGTTTCTTCAACGTGCACCTAAACCAAAGTGCACGCGCCTTTAGATTTCTCCTGCATCGAAGTGCGGCCGCCACGGACGGGATATGATCTCGTTACCTTTGGGTCAGCATGTGAAGCACCTTAACCTATGTACATCACCGCGAGCTGCAGGTAACGTAATTAAATACTGTATAAACTATACAGTGACCTAGCCAGGAAAAACCCAACCTCCTCAAACTCAAAAAGAATTTGCCATGCCACTAATAGAGTAAATGTTACATTTGCTCTTTCGTTTTATGTTTCTGTGTAACCTTCTATTTTCATAATTTGTTTTATGTCATTATGGGTACTTTTCTTGTTGATGTAATACTGATATGATGCCGCAAGTTCAGCTTCAGCCTCTCCACAACATGGTTCTCTGTTATACAGAGTAAAAAAAAAAATCGTACGCTACTATAGCCTATGCCGTTGCTCTCGACGGAAAAATCAAGTTACCTTGAGCAGGGAATCCTCAAGACTGCCCCTTGCATTGAAGGGCCGCCACTCATCAACCCGAAATGCACGAGCTCGGAGGGCTTCCATGTATAACATACACTGCGAAGCCCAACGCACGCAGAGGAACACATGTTTTGCTGAAACCCTGCGGCAACCAGTGTGTGTTATTCAAAAGGCGGTGACTTTTCAAGTGCTTCCGTCAATGAGCAACAAAAACGACTACAAAATCCCATCCTTAGCTCAGCATAACGATCATTCATAAATGCTGCTGTATGGTGGGCGCTTAGCTTTGCGTGACTCAGACTTTGAATAATCGGAACACTGTTATGTTCAGTTCCTTATTTTCATCATCAAGACAAAGTGCACAGCGGTAAGTGGACATAAGGTCTTGACGACGTCTACTGGTCATAACGTTTGACAAGCGACAGTACAATATTGATAACGAACTATAGGAGCCTTACACAAAACAGCACAATATTGCAAAAACGTTATGCAAAATTAGCAATGTATACAAAAGAAAAATAAGTACTCCGTGTTTAACATATTCCAGCGGCAGTGGTATTGTTATGCTCATCCGACATTTCTGTACATGTATGAGCTAATGAGTCGTCGAGTTTATTTATTTATTTATTTATTTATTTATTTATTTATTTATTTATTTATTTATTTATTTATTTATTTATTGACTTGATTACTTACAGGCCCCTGATACACTACGTAAAAGGGATGACAAGCAAAAAAAAAAGAAATAGAGAATTGTTTGAAAACAGGCAAGAAAGCAAGAAAGTGGAAGATAAATATTGTTATAGCAACCTAATGTCAATGCACAGCTGTGCAATAAATGCCCTAAATCTGTGTACGGAAGTTGACCTTCACGAGTAGCGAATCGCTGTGTGACAGAAGCGAATTTGTTTTTTGCGGTCTCGAAAATGCAATTAGCTCTTGTGGCGCTATTTGGTGTTTTACACAAAAGTAGACACGAGTGTCGGAGAAGGCAAGACTCGGCACTCCCAAGTTTCCCGAATATTATACAGTTAGTGTGGATATGTACGTTCACAAAGAAATTAGGCGCGAACCGAGAATTACAAAGCTGAGCAGCTTTCGCAGGCAATAACGCAAAAACACACTTCCTACGTTGATAATTACGTGGTTGCAAAAAATTCTTTTGGGCCCACACTAAGTGCGCAAGCACAAATATTTTGCCTTCATTAAGCGTGCTAAAAAAGAAATAGAAACTAAACTTTTTTTTTTTGTTGGCACTATAGGGAAGGAACAAATAAGTTGAACGACGGGGGAGGGGGGTAAGCTAGATCATAGACCGGCTGATTACCCTGTGTTGGAGAACAAGGTAAGGACCGTAAAAAATAATGGAAAGATCAGCGCTCCTTGTGTTCACTCTCTTTTTCCGTATGAACCTGTATTCGGCGCTGTGTTTTTATTCCGTAATGTCATACGTACATCCTCGCCCAAGCTTCCGTGCT